TTTTTTTTTTTCTTTTTCTCTTTTCTTTTTTTCAAAGAATATCGACGTCCCTTCCTGGTAGTCCTGATCGTGTGCACGTTTCGGAATATCCTGAGGACTTGCCAGCCGGTTACACGGAAACGAGCTCGGAAAGTGCGACGCAGCTTCGAAAAATCACTTCCGACACGATCAGAAGAACCATTCACGCGAGTTTTCGAGGACGGCGAGTCGTTCCGCCTCGGCTACGTATCCTCTTTCGATCGTTGTTTAACGAACACTCTATTCTCTCCCTTGCCCGATGTAACCGTACCGAACAGCGGATATTCACCCCCATTCCCCCTGTGGCTCTCTTGCAACGGCAAGCAACCTCGCGAAATCAAATTTTACGAGTTATTTAATGTTATCGCTTCGTATCGATATCCAAATAGCGCGGCGAATTTTCCTATTAAAGTTGTGCTCCACGCGGAGAGGGTGTAATCTCGAATGAGGGAATAACGAAGCAAACGTATAGCTGGAAATTGAGAAGATGGCAATCTAGACGGCAATGCAGACGAATTTTAAAATTGCTCAATTTATTTATACGTTTCTCAATATAAAACGGATACGATTCATTTGGTTTGGTCACCAGTGTTTGTCTTTTATTTTTATTTATTGATCCAACAAGCTAGAGAAAATCATGGTCGAGCTTCCCAACTCTCAGCAATAATTTCTCGATTAACTCCGCGAAATGTCACGCGTTCTTTCCTAAAGTTTTGTCTAACGACGTCGAAAACGAATAATAAGACATATTATTCACTTTTCCTCTTTTGCCCGACTTTATTCGACTCGACAAACTTTCGAGCGTGCACGTGAGAACGATCGATTCCGAGAGCAAGGCATCGAACGAACATTGGCTGGTTTAGCCGGCGCGAAATTGACGTGACGTCGCCGTTGCGTTCGATCGTATTACAATCGTTCAACAGCGGTGTACGAGGCATGCAATCAAGTTTTATAGAACGCGCCACATATATAAGAAATACACGGGCGCGTTCCGTGTCGAAGCGAGTTATAAGCGAGTTGGCGAGTGTAAGCGAGTGCGTGACTGAGAGCTCCGCGCCAAGTTGTGATTAAACGCGCGCGGCGCTCGTTTCGCTAGTAGTAGTAAGCAAGATACATCGGACCGTGCCAAAATGCAGAACACACCAAGTATTTACGTAATCCACGTACAAAGAGGCACGGATAAATAAATAGATTTAGTCCGTGTGAAACAAACGTGTACTCGAGTCTAACAGAGAGCATCACAGAGAGAGAAAGAGAGAGAGAGAGGGAGAGAGTGAGAGAGACAGACAGACAGAGACATATGAAAGAGAGACAAAATGAAAACGAGACACAAAAGGAGAATGAAGGGACAATTCTCGCG